TAATTGACAAGGAAAGAAACCAGCCTTTGGATAACAGTAATTTTATGATGAGTAAAACAAAGAAAAAAAAAGAAACTGGATCTATAAGGAAGTCATTGATTTGAGGACGCAAATAAATTTGTAATCTGTCTACTGCTCTGCACTTCCTATAATGTACACAGTTCTTTTTTAGGCATTGGAGTGATGCAATATAAAACCCAATTTATGTAGTCGAAAGCATTCTACTAAATATTAAAGGAAAACAAATCATTTGTAACTTCCTTCTAAATAAAAAACTGAAATATTATGTTAATATATACTAACACCTTAATACTCAGAACTGTTAATAACTACAGCTTGATCAGAGAGTAAGTTTAACGATCACATCCATCACACTTTTGTAATAGTCACTAAAAAAACACTATCAAAAAATATAGATATGTCTTTCTTAAGGATTCTTTAAAAAAGAAAAAAAATTATACATTCAATTTTTTTCATATTAATTTTTTTAAAAAAGGACAGAACAGTCTTAACAGTTCCTTCTAGGATTTGTTTTTGGCGACAAACAACAAATCAGACACAGTTGATAAGAAAACTGAGGCAACTCAGGCATTTTAAAATTTGGAAATTTTCCTGCTTGCATTTTATATAGGGGTGGTATGTGTGTATGCACGCATATACATATCTTGATCTTTTATATCTGTGGAAACACATAAGGCAACTCAAAATAATGCATTTCTGGGGCTGGGGTGGTGGCTCAGTGGCAGAGTGCTTGCCTAGCACGTGTGAGGCCCTGGGTTCAACCCTCCACACCACATAAAAACAAATAAATAAAATAAAGGTATTGTGTCCAACTACAACTAAAAAATAAATATTTGAAGAAAAAAAAAAGAAAGCATTTCTACTTAGAGTGACTCACCAAAGAACACTAATAATACAGGAATCATAACCCACAGGGTTTTTTTTTTTTCTCTTATTTGATAGCTCTGTAAAAATATAGCTGGTTTATGAAACATGTCTCAATAACACACAGACATTGCCAGGTGAATATTAAAAGAGTAAAGGTTAAATTTACTGTGGCTAAGCATTAAATAGGAGAGACAAAAACATTTGAACTTCTGCTATAATGGCTCAAGTGTACAAAAGGGAAAAACAAAAAAGGATACACCTTCAAATTCTTAATATCCGACTCTACTAGAATAAACCAAAACTTAAGTTCAGTGAAACAGATGTGTGACTTCATGTTTCACACATGACAACAGCTTGGATGCACACAATCAAAGCTAAAAATCTATTGCAGCATGAAATGGAAATATGCACTGCTAACAGATAGAAACGAACATATAAATTGTTATGTCATGAGGAAAAATAAATGAAGAATGAAAATCCAATGTAATAGTATTAATTTGTTGACAAAAAGTCAAAACTGCTCAGTGCTAAACCAATGTAGCTGGACTCAAACCTCAGCACATCAGTGTACAGAACTATTGACCCAGTCATATCCCTAGATATTACTTAAGTTAGACTTGAAACTGTCAATGTTACTGGAGATTTATTTATTTATTTATTTGAGACTTCTTTCAACTTAAACAGAAACTGTTGAAGTAACAGCTATTCTACTTTTGTAACAAAGGAATGGATTCATAAAACCTCTAGTTAATGAAGGACTAAGAGAGTTGAGAGTTGGAAGGAAATTTAAGGAGTCAATTCTAAATCTGAACTATATCCCAAGGTAGGTTCTAAATGAATGTCTTCAGCAAAGAATCATCAAGAGTTTTTTAAGTTCAAGACTTAATGTAAGCTGGGTACAGTGAGACATGCCTATAATCCCAGCTACTCAGGAGGCTGAGGCAGGAGGATGGCAAGTTTGAGGCCAGCCTGGGCAACAGAGACCCTATCTCAAAATAAAAAATACAATAAAAAGGGCTAGGGATATAGCTCAGAAAAAAAGATTCATTGTTGATTGCTTGGGGTGACACCAATATACCTAAACCCTAATACCTCCCTTCAAGGATATAGGCTGTGAAACAGAATACTGTACCTTTAAAGGATAAAAAATTAAATCCTAAGAACCAGGAGTCTTACAGCAAGATAAAATACTTCAAGGAACACTTATGAGATGCTTAGGCTGGGTCTAGAACAAGGAGTCAAATTTGGACACGTGGCAATGGAAGAGAAGGACACTCCAGGTAGTATGAATAGAATGCACTCCAATACCCTATGCAAACAAACATCATTTCCAACAATTCTTCCCTGACACAGTCTGCTCTTGTTATACCAGTCTTCTTGGTTTTCTTCAAACAGGCATTCTCTCCTCAGGGCTTACACATTTGCCTGGAATGCTCTTCCCTGATATCTGCAAGGCTTGCTTTCTTATGTCCTTCAAGTATTTTTTCAAATGTCACCTTCTCAAGAGAACTTAACTGGCTACCTTATTTAAAACTGCCATCCTTACACTCCCTATCACCTTGCCCTGTTTTGTTTTTTCCACAGCATTTATTACTACCTGGTACACTATATAGTCTGCTTCCTATTAGCTGTGTCTACACCCTTCCCACAAGAGCAGAAGATAGATATATTTGTTCATCTTCAGTGTCTGCACACATAAGTCATGAAATAAATATTTACTGATAAACTGATGGACTAAATGAATGAAAAAGATATCTACCCTCAAATAGATTATACTGGAGAAAGCATATTATTGGCAAAAATCCAACTTATAAAGACTAATACACAGAAACAGCTTCTGGCACCCCACTTCTTCACAACCAATAAACTGACCTTTTATACCTTCTAGCTACATTTTCCCATGAAGCCTCTTTCCATATTAAGCTTCAGTGCTATCTAGTGAGTAAATGTATCACCCTGCAATATTTTTATTACCACTGTTGAACAAGAAACATGTATTTCTAGATTTCCTAATTAAATTCATATTTTAGTAGATGGTTAAATTCTACACTACAGGGGTGGTATACTGATTACTGATCAGCCGAGGAATATTAAATTGAGATACGGAAAAATAAAATTTTGAATTCTATTTCACTATTGGAATATACTTTTTCTTCACTGAAAATGGCACTGGTAAAATGATTAAGAGAAACGTTCCTTTGACAAAGGGTATTAACATTTTAAAGAAATGGGTAACAACGGAAAGTTAATGGTATTTTTTTTTTATTCAGAAGGATCAATTAGAATTATATTCTGGATTAAAGAATAATGTAGAATTTTTAAACGGAGCATTCATATTTAAGTTACACTAAACTAAAACTACCCAGGATTAATGCAAAATATTCTCTATCACCAGCAAAGGCAAAACAACTTAAGGAAATAAATAAGCTCAAGATTTCTCTTCAGCCAACACCTCCACAGACTATATTATCATTTTAGACAAACTGACATTTTCACATTTAATTTTTAATGGCAAGAATGAGTTCCATCTGGGACCTAACTGCATAAAAGTATTAGTCTTGGCACAGTTTCAATACTGAATTGAAAGTTCATTTCTGGCTACAAGCAAAATGCCCCAATACAACACAATGTTACATCTCACATTAATCCTACCATCCAGAGCCCAATTGTATGTATTTAACCTAGAGGTGAATTTTGCCCTAAGGTAGGCACATATGTATATAACCCTTTCACAATCATTTATAAATTACTACCTAAAAGCCTCGAGCACTTAGGAATATTAACAGCGTTTGCAGTTTTAAAAGAGAGGTTTTACAAATATTACTATTCTTTGTAAGTAGAAGAGAAACTAAATTCCCTTGAAAAATGCCCAACCGGAAGCCGAAATCATAACTTCTGGGTATAGAATCACCGTACTTCAGCCATGAAAAATGTCAACAGCTATTTCAAGAGTAAGTAATTCACAATCAGCTCCTCACTTATCTTCCTCTTTTGTAAGGAGACACCTTGAAAGTCACACTGGGCAGTCGATCTCATGGAAACATCCATGGGAGACTGTACAGAGCGTGCCGTCACCGAAACGCGGGAGGCTAAAGTTCCTCCGCTATGAGAGGATTACAGCGGAAAAACAGTAGCCCATCTGTCCACTGGCGAACATAAAGAAATCCACCTGGAAGGGTTGGAAGTAAGGGAGGTGGGGCTGTGAGAAGAGCGGGGCCAACCCGAACCGCCCACAGCACGAAGGCAACCGCGCGGGGTGGGCTCCCGGGACTTAGGGCGCGGGGCTGGGAGCGGGCGCAGGTGGGCTGCGGATGCCCGACCCCTGAGGGCCGGGCCCGAGCTGCCGGGAAACCACCCTGCCCACAGACGGGCGGAGGAGCCGCCCCGCAGAGCCACGTCGGAGGCTGGGAGCCCGGCAAGGAGGTGGGCACCTGGCTCACACCCACAGGAAGCTGACAGCCGGGAGCTCGAGGCTGCCTGGGCGCTAGAAGGGCCGCAGCGCGCCGGACGGAATCGCTCCGAGGAAGCCGCGCTGGGCGCTGCCCGTCGTCAACGACTCCCCCTCGCCCTGATCGGCGGCGGCTGGATACTTACGTAGGGCTGGTAGAACTTGGAGAGCCGCGGCTTCCCGTGGTTGTTGAAGATGAGGATCGCCTTGATCATGGCTGGGCCGGGCCGACTGGGTGGGCGCTGGGGGCCAGGGCGGGGGCGGGCACGCGAGCCTCGCCTCGGGATCTTGCCAGCGATCCTTCCCCACCCGCCCCCTCCCGCACGCGCTCGCGCGCGCTCCCGAACCGCTGGGCGGGGATTGAGGGGCGGGGCCAGGGCGGGGCAGACGCGGAGGGAAGCGGAAACATTTTCCGGCCAGAGCCGACTTACCGGAGGGGTGCTTTTCACTTGGCGGCGCATGGAAATGTTGCCCATGGAACCCGTCCTTAAGTTTATCGCAGTAAGAAAACACCAGATGCCATAGTAACAGCCAGGGGTCCTAGACAGTTTCCATATGGAGAGCTAGCCGGAAGCTCCAACGTTCACCGTTGGGTTAGATCCCCCTTTGGCGCCTCCTTTGCGATTCTCCTCAGCGCTGAGCCCGCCCACTGCACGCTCTCAGCTGCCACTTCCGCTCTCGCTTTCCACCGTGCAATATGGCGGAGGAGCCCGAGTCGGTGTTGCAACTCCCTTCAACTGCTGCTGCTGGCGGTGAAGGACTTACGGATGTCTCCCCAGAAACAGCCACTCCAGAGCCCCCTTCTTCTGCGGCAGTCTCGCCGGGGACAGAGGAGCCTTCAGGCGACACCAAGAAAAAAAGTAATTTTGAGAGCAGTCTGGGCAGTGAGGTGGGAGGTGTAGCTGCGGTCTCTAAGGGTGGTGGCCAATAATGAATCGAAATTTAGAGGAAGGCCCAAACCAGAGGTACATTTTCGGGAGTCCGAAGAGAGGAAGCGTGCTTTCATTTTTCAAACCTTGTCGAGTGCTTCACGAGGAAGCCGTCTCCGGACTCAACATTGTGCTTGCTGGGCTACGTTAGGTGCCTTGGTTATCCATGTGGTTCCAGGTACTTAGCTGCCTCCGTGCTTTTTACAATGTATTCTAATCTACCTGTGAGTTGGCTAGATTACAAGTCTTGAAGGTGAGATCCGAGTAAAAGTTAAGTAGCTTCCGGTGCTTAACATAGGAGCTAATTATTTGAATAATGATTTAAAGTAATAAGGATGGTCAGATTGGTCAGAATATGGAGAAGTACTGGCGAACGAAATCAACCAAATTAGGGATGGTCAGTGGCAAGGCCTGGAATTAGATCGCTGCTTTTGTCTCCCCTACAACAGAGTGTGAATTGACTCCTTGAATCGGAAAAAAAACTTGAGGTTTTACTCAGTATGGACATTGCTAAGGGAAATTTGAAAATACAGATATTACCTTTTTTTTTTTAATTTTGGAATCATTGTGAATCATTTCATTGCTTGAACCTATCAGTCCTCACGGTTTACTGCTTGAGAATTTTTTCGTTGTTGGAAATTAATTTCTAATGTTATTTGTTTTGAGCACTCTGGACAGTTAAGAGTTGCTTGTGAGCAAAACATCTGCAAAGAGACTGAATTTCCTTAGACAAGTTTTCTCTCCAGAGTCTTGAACAGTAGATAAGTTTTCTGATCCATGATCTCACTGGCCTTTCATTGAACTTTTTTCTGCTGCTGTGGAGAAAAATTGCCTCTGCCTCTCCCAGCACTGCTTCCCTTTTAAATCAGATTCATTTGGTGGCTGGGGATAAAATGAGCTCGGTTGTAAGATAAATGCTTGTTTGATAGTGTAAGCCCTAGTTTAATCTCCAGCACCACAAAAAGAAAGAAAAATCAGACTGCTTTTACCTCTGGGAAAAAATCTGTTGTCATTCCACCTGATGCACTGATTACTTGTACAGATTAATCACCAGAGTCTTTCTTCAAAAGAGTCCTATATGTTTTACAGATTGTTGTGGATTTTTTTTTCCATTTTGCCTACATTGAAAGGATTTTTTTAAAGGTTTAGTCAAAACTTACTACTTAAATAAGCCAGGCATGGTGGTGAATGCATGCCTGTAATCCCAGCAACTCAGGAGGATGGCAAGTTCAAGGCCACCTTCCAATTAGCAGCAAGACCCTGTCTCAGAATAAAAAATAAAAACACTCCTTGGTTCATTTACCAAAACCAAAAATTTACTGCTTGACACTCAGGATAGCTTCGTTACAGAGATGGAAAACAGTGACCTAGCACCCAGAAGGTGTGTTTTCTTTGGTATGCATAATTTTCTTTCTTTTTTTTTTTTAACAAACTGAACCATCCTATTGAATTCCTATCCTGATTGTGATCCTTTTTGAGGAGGATCTGATGAAAGAAACTTGAATACTTCAATCTCTGCAACTTTAGAGGATTGTTGAAACCTATCAAGGTTGCAGGCCCTTAGTGTACCTTAGGCTCACCTGGGGAACCTTTTGAACAAAACTGTGCTAAAGTCTCTACTGTCAAAAGATTCTCACTTAATTGATGTGTATACCTGTATTTTAAATGTTCCCCCAGTTGATTTTAATGGGTAACTAGAGTTTGGAACTATTGGCAGATCCCCTTAAGAATTGCAGGGTTATGCAGTGAAAATTTCTTCTTCTTTTCTTGCCCTCAGGCTCTTAGTATGACTGGGTCCCTAATTACAGTGCCTGGGGACTGAGGAAAGAGGGAGGGAAGTGTGGAAGCCAAGCTAGCCAAAATCCCATCTAAATTCTTCCAAATGAAGAGGCAGATAAACTATGTGCATCACATATTTTAAGTACCTTCATTCCAGGGGTAAACTAGAATAAATTGATCTCTGATAAAGATGGGCCCCAAGCTTTTAATTTCAAGAATGGCCTAGGGGGTAATATAACAAAATTAACTGTAGGGGGCAGCAGTATGCTATTTTGCTTTCAGTATTGCTTACTTTGATTATAGGTGTTTTTGATTTTTTTAAGGGACATAACTTCAAAAGACAGAATCATAGTCTTCAGGTTTGCATTGCTGTATTTTGGATCATTGAAAGGATTTCTCCGAACCTTACTTTTGGTTCCAAATTGTATTTTATTTTTAATAACATGGTTTTTCTTTATTAAAGAGTTTATTGTAGAAAACTCAGCAGTTACAAAAAGCCTAAGTAATGTCAAGTAATAATTGCCTGTGTCACTACTGAAAAGTAACATTTTGTTTAAATTCCTTAAACTTGTGGCCTTGGAACAGTTGGTATGAAACTAATAGTGATTATTTTCCCTTAGAAGTATGTAATAGTTCCTAGGCATCAATGAATAAGTATATAGAAGTACATATGGAGCTACATTTTACTTTATTATCCATTTTCTGTAATCATGTGAATATGTGTTCAAGATGCTTTTAATGAAATTGAGACAATATATGTACTGTTTACATTAGGTTTATTTTGCTAGCATCACTATGTTGTTAAATATGCTTTTATACTGTCTCTTTAATATTTAATCTTAAAGTTCAATAAGAATGACTTATGTGCTGGATACTGTTATAAACATGTTAATTCATTTAATCCTCATTACAACCCTATGAGGTAGGTGCTATTTATTATCTCCCTCTTACAAATGGAGAAACTAGCATGGGGAGATTAAAAAGTTTTCCATGTGTATATACCCAGCAAGTGACAGAGCTAAGAGAGTATACCATCTTTTATTTAATCGGTATCTTTTAAATATCCATGTTGGATACTTGGTTTTACCAGTATTTTTCCTTTAAGATGCTTTAGTGAAGGGGAAATTCTTCTAAATGAGTCTTTGCACATCACATATTTTCTTCAATTATATTCTTAGAAGTATTACTGAGTCAAAAGTATGTCTTCAAGTACTGGATATGTATTACCAAGTTGCTTTCCAGAAAGGGGATATCATTTTTTATTCTCAACAGTAGTAGCCACACAAATACTCTAATCTTTGTAGTTTGGTAAGTAAAAAACAAAATGTGAGATTAAACTTTGCTGCTGTTACACATCTTTATGGGCCATTTCTGTTTCTTTTTGGAATTGTTTGTTAGGTCAATGCATTTTAAAGATTAGTCCATGGGGAGAATCGAAGAAGAAAAATCATGAAAAAGAAAGTAATATTTTAAGTTTTCTAAAGGCTTTTATATTATGCTCTCATTAAGTATTTCAGTATAATTGTTTTTTTTTTTTTTTTCTTTCACAGTTGACATCCTACTGAAGGCTGTGGGAGACACCCCTATAATGAAAACAAAGAAGTGGGCTGTAGAGCGAACCCGAACCATCCAAGGACTCATTGACTTCATCAAGAAGTTCCTTAAACTTGTGGCCTCAGAACAGTTGGTATGAGACTAATAGTGATTATTTTCCCTTAGAAGTGTACCATAGTTCCTAGGCATCAGTGAATAAGTATATAGAAGTACACATGGAGCTACATTTTACTTTGTTATCCCTTTTCTGTCTTTTTTGTTGGAATTTATATACTTTATTGAAGGATTCTTTGGGAACTCTGAAATAAGATGAATTTGAGATTTGCTTTACATTGTAAACCAATTTTTTAATCTGAAAAGAACATTGTTTTGATTCCAGTGTTGCTTTTGTCCCATTTTTCTAAAGGTAAGCAATATGTCTGACATGTGCTATGAAAGAACTAAGAAATTTACATTTAAATTCATGTTGTAGTATACCTTACTCACTTCTAGGAAGGGTTAATATTTTTAATGCCATTGGTTTTTACTTTGGTATTTGACTACAGGAATTTAAATATCAACATGTATACTTATGCATCACTTAATGATGGGGACATGCTCTAAGAAGAGCATCATTAGGCAATTCTGATGTATGAATATAAAGAGTATACTTACACCAACCAAAATGACTTACATCACTTAAGGATATAATTTTATAGGACAATCATAAATGCAGTCCCTCATTGACTAAATGTTATGAGGCACATGACTCTGTTTGGGATTTTGTTAGGTGTTATATTAATACTTTGATTTAGACGCCTTTATCTGCCAGTAGATCCCAATCTTGGACAATACTGATGTAAATGGATAGGTAGTTTAAGAATCATTAAATATTTTTAAAATAGAAATCAAGAATTTGTATGAATAGGGTTGAGATTTATTTGCTGTAAACGAAGAAGAAAGAACAGGTGAAATGAATATAGGTATTAAAGTGAGATGTTGGACATTCTTTTTGTCAACAAGTAGCAATATACTAAAACTCTGATCCAAGATTCTGGCTGTAACCAGCTCTCAAAGAAAGGACATTCAGGAAAGATTCCTCTTTAGACTCCCTCCAAAGAAAATTGTTTGGGCAAAGTTTGGGGAATAATTGACTTTTGCAGGTGAACATCTGCCATCGTGATCATTCAAAATTGGAAGAGCATCTATTTTGTTGAATGGTCATAGAATTTAGTTAAAGAGAGAACTCAGCAATACAATTTTGGTCATCCACATGTGTATGTAGCTAAACACTCAGAAGTAGAGGACCTTGCCTAGAGTCTTAAGTCTAAATGGAAAAGTCAGGAGTGTGAGGATATATATACTAGGAAAAATGAGGTAAACTAAAGATGCTACTATAAGAGTTGGTAAGGTTAAGAAAGCTAAGTTAACTTAGGGCATTAGTGTTTTAGAAATATATATATAGAAACCATTCTGTTTGGTGTTAATGTTAGAATTTTGAAATTTTTTACTGTCTACATCCAGTAATCTGAAAAGACTTGATTGATAGTAACATGTATTAAATTAAGCCATGTAAAATTGCCATTGGTCACCCATATTAACCTATAAAAACAACAATTTTGCGTGGTTCAGAGTAAAGGCTTTAAGGTGAATCTGATTATTCTTTCCTGTTTAAGCAAGAGGAAACATAAGACTCGTTTTATTGCTGTATTAAACTAGGACTTCTGTTTTCTGACTTTTATCTAAATATAACCAATATCATTGTAGCAAAAAGAAGAGTAATGCTAAGAATTCTGGGAAGATAGCAGTGGTATCAGAAGGCATAGTTGAATCTCTGAATTTCCACAAAAACCCTGTCTTAACTATCAAAACCAAAAATGCATATTAATATTTATGATAGAATTTAATGACAAAGCATTCCAACAAATCCCAAACATGCTGATGGATAGTGCAAGGATCTGCATGGTATCAAACATCTGCATTAAAGGAAGCAGCAAACAACAGAGTTGGCATCTGACAACACTGAGAAAAGAACCTCAAATTAGCTAATAGGTTCTTACTGGAAAACAAAGTAGACAGAGTTAAGAATCCTAGTTTAGTGGCCGAGAGTATAGCTCAATGGTACGATGCATATTTAGCAGTTCGGTCCCCAGAACTGTCCCCACCTTCAACCAGTAGTAGCTGAAATAGAGGGGTTCTGTCCTTTAGGGGGTGAGTACAATATTTCTACGCTAAGGAGAACTGAAGAAACTTGAGAAGTCTAGTCTCTAAGGGCAGGACTCCTTTCTGAGAAGAAACTATGGAAATGAAATAAAAATTGAGCAAAATCAGGGACATGAGAAAGGAAGGGTAGAGATCAGATCAGAATTAGGGGAACAAAGTGTGGAAAGCTCAGGAAGCAGGTCTCTATATTTTTTAACACTATACAGAAAACAACAGAAGGAGCTCTGCGAAGCTAGAAAAACTGCTCTAATCCACCTGATTCTAAATTTGAGGAAAACAGAATGCATATAAAAGCCAACAGCAGGAACATATCAAGGTCAAATGACATAAAATGTTATAAGAAATATTAAAAAACAGAATAACATCCATGAAAACAATGAAACCATTCCAGAAAAAATGTACCTCCATGACAAAAACCACAGCTGTATTTCAAAATGAGCTAAAAGGGATTAAGAAAATGATACAAGACAAGAAAGAACAACATCAGCATTAGTAAAATTGAGAAATGAAGTGACGAAACTCAGGAAAAGATTTAACAAAGGAACATTATTTCAGCTATGAAGGCCAACTAGAAGGAAGAAGAACCAAAACAGTAAGGCCTGTGCAGTTAAAATGCCAAGAACTAACTGCAAATTCACATTAAAATGCACACTGCTGGTGCTGGGGTTATGGCTGAGTGGTAAAGCGCTTGCCTCGCATGTGTGAGGCACTGGGTTCGATTCTCAGCACCGCATATAAGTAAATGAATAAAATAAATGTCCATCAATAACTAAAAAAAAATTTTTTTAAATATATGCTGTAAAATGTACACTGCTTTCTGTTATGTTTCTTAAATTTATGTTAGAAACTTACTCATCCTTAACCATGAATTGATATGTAAGCATGAACCATTTGTAAATAATTTAACTATAATAACATTTGTTGAGGACATATAACTGTCAGTGTTACTAAATGTATAGTCCCTCATTTTCTTTCCTAGCCACCCCAAGAAGAATAGATATTATTATTTTTCCATGCTTACAAATAAGGAAGCAGGTCAAAAAATGTCCTGGCTCTATTTGAATTTAGGCCCAGGATTCAAGGGCAGGTCTCTCTAGAGACTGTAAACTTCAATCACCACATTTAATGACATACCTAAGGAGAAAATGTTACCAAAATTTATTCATGTTATAGTTAGTGATCAAAATAACATCTGATCTGATACTGTTAAAAAAACACTGAAACATTGAATAACAAATCCTTTAAAGAACAGGATTGTAAGGGCCTTGGGTTTTAATTATATTGCCTAGCCCCCTTCTTTTGCCTGGAAATGACTTTATGGTAGCAACCGGCCTGAAGTAGTTTTGTACCTTTGAAAGTTTTTTTTTAAAGGTAATAAACATTAAAGAAAAAGAAAAAGCCTTAACCATGAATGTCATACATTTAACCAAGAAAAATGCATGCACAGACTATCTTGAATATTAGATTTATTGATTTGGGGCTGTGTGTGAATTTTTTAGAAGAAATTTTGTCTTTATGGTTAGGTGCAAGTGTAGAATTTTTTGTAATACTGATTTCTTGGAAAGCCTGAACAAACTATTTATAAAAATGATTTACAAGTTTTTAATTACTAAAAGCTGGAAACTCCTTTATAGGAGCAAAAATTCTATTATTCTTCTGGAAGAAAGATAATTTTCATAAAGTTCTCTTTAAATGGATGAATTAATTATTTAGGGGAGCTTTGTTCAATCTGAAGACAGCTTAAAATAGCTTGATTTGAACCAAAAAAATACAGGTTAATCAGTGTACTATTAAAAATGAATCTGTATTTTCTTCTTTTCTTTCTTATAGTTTATTTATGTGAATCAGTCCTTTGCTCCTTCCCCAGACCAGGAAGTCGGAACCCTCTATGAGGTAAAAAGTTACTTTTTTTTTTTTAATCTTAATGGAGTATGCACATGTGTGTAATATGCATATAATAGTGTATAGCATGAATCATTCATATCTTTAAGAATTGGCATGCCAAGCACATTGACACCTTCCTGTAATCCCAGTGACTTGGCAGGCTGAGGCAGGAGGATCATAAGTTCAAGGCCAGGCACAGCAACTTAGCAAGAACCTACCTCAAAATTTAAAAAATACTGATATACTGAGGATGTAGTTCAATGGTAAAGCACCCCTCGCTTCAATCCTCAGTACCAAAAACAAAAGAATTGGCATGCCATTCTTAATTGTCTGTGTGGGAAAAAAAGAAGAGATGACATTCTCGCTCTCTTGTTTCATCTCTAATACCTTGAATGTAGTAGGACTTTAATAACTTATACAGTGATTGAAGGATCAAGAAATTAATTGTATGTCAAAATAATCTTTTCATATTTTTAGAAGTTATATTCAGTCTCTCTACATTGTTCATGTGATCTGTAATCCAAATCTGCCTCCAAGAAATTGAAAAAACTACATAAGAACCACTTTACTCAACATTCTTGCAGTTCTATGGCGATAATTATTAGAGTGTACTTACAAGCACTAGTAGAGAACATCTAAAAATACATACTTGATCATCAGAGCAAGATTAAAATATATAAGCCCATTCATACCCAATTTGCTTAACTGATAGATTTTTGTGAAACATTTATGATTATTGGTTACATGTCTGGTAAAAAACAGGCATTTTTTTAAAAGAAAGTTACCTTATGACATAGGTAACTAACATGAACATATATGGATATTTGTGATACATATGACTTTTTCTTAGTTTTATTTAAGAGTAACAAAAATGGAGTTTAATTTATTGCCGTTTTTCTTTTTGTAGTGTTTTGGCAGTGATGGTAAACTGGTCCTACATTACTGCAAATCTCAGGCCTGGGGATGAGCCACAGAGAAAAACAGCTTGATACTCAAGATGATGTTTTCACAGAGGAAATGGCTCCATAAAGTTCTTATGCTGTGACGAGACTTAACAGATATCAACTACTCAGCATGTGTCTACTGAAACTCATATTTATACATAAGAAAACATCTGTAGAGTGAATAGACTAACAAAAATATGATTTGTGTTAATACACAAGTCTTCATAAAAGATTGACATCACAGTATGCCTGTTACTCCTGCCTATTACTACCATTGTTTCAGATCTGCCTCCAAGATTGAAAAGATTGAAACTACATGAACTTTCATTACCAGTTTTCAAAATGATTGAAATTGTTTACTTATAGAACTGGCACTCTGCTGATTTCTTTCATGGTAAAAATTAATTTACTAATAGGTTTTTCTATTTCTTTTTAACTCATTCAGGAAACGTCAGTTAGGGGTATAAGAGGTTTAAATTTTTTCTGTTGAATTACCTTGACAAACCAAGTCGCATTGACCTCTTAGCTAAATACCTTACATAGTCCATTAGAGGGCAGTCCAGCTGATAAAAAGGGTTTGGTTAATCTGGTTCTACATCTTTGCCAGGTGAAAGGAAATAAGACTTTTCTTGTTAATTTCTGGCCAATATGTAGCCAAGAAAGCAAGTATGTTGACAAACTGGAAGAATTTGAGAAAATAATCACAATTTAATTATGCTAGGAAACAGAAACAATTTTACAAATTCTAGACAAATGAGTTTTACAGGATTTTTTTTTTTTTTTTTTTTTTTTTTTGGTACTATCAAGATTGAGTCCCAGTGTTGTGCTGCTTTATCACTTATTTAAACAATGTTCAAAGAACTTGCTGAGTAAACCTAAAATCATTGTGTACTTCATATTCAGATTGAAAGTATTCGAAGAATAATTGTAAAATAGCCTCAAATTTTATGTGTATGTCATGCCATGACTAAAAGAGTACCATTTTTACTGATGTGGTTAGACTGTTCATTGCTTAAAGTGAGATTTAACTTTTTTTTCTTCTGTACTTTATTTATCATGCATAATATTTAAAGCCATTCCATAAATGGAATAGAATGTTCAAACAGGTTTTGTGACATGTACTATAATTTCAAGTGTTTGTTTTCAAAGATAATATGGTAGGAAGAATGTGATTTTTATGAAAGTACTTGAGCTACACTTACATCCTTTAAATCCCAGAGTGTACTTTATGGTACTTTATTTTCCTGGAATTATAACAGGTTGGGTAAGCTTTTAACACCACATATTAGCATGAGGATATGCTAAATAACAATTCACTTTACAGTGAAGAAATTGCTGTTCAGTTCTCATTTTCTGCCTAAGAATGTGAATTCTTGATTTCCCTTATACCAATGACCCTTTATAATAAATGAATATGGCTAATAGCAGTGGAAAATTATTGACAGGTTAAGTTGTACAAAATTATAAGAAATGTGTATATATGTTGAAAGATGGAAATAAATTTTCAAGTCAATTGGGTTAGATATAAAAAAGATATGTTCTGTAGTTTTGTCTACTTATAGCTCACTCAAGGAAGGACTAGATTACATGTGTAAATAGAATTTATGCGTTATTTTTGCTGTTGATGTTTCAAATAGAAACTGCCTCAACAATGAAAAATATTTTGAGTTTGAAATTTTTAACATCAGTGTAATTATTTTTTTTAATCCAAATAACAGTAGTCTATTAAACTAAGATTAACTAAATGTATACTTTATTTTCTTCCCTAATAACTTTGAAGAACATACAAGGCTTTACACATTTTCAAATTATATTTACATTTTTTTTTTTTTTTATCTTTACCCAAATAGTCATTCTTCACTAACTTTGCAATACTTAACTTGTAAGCCTGGAGTCTCTATGTTATTGGAACTTAAATAACTAAAATTTAAGTTAGAACCTAAAACATAGTTTATTCACAAGAGTTTGCAGTTCAAACTGTCTTAAGTGTGATTGAACTTAGGGGAAAAAAACTGAACCCTTAGGGTCATATTTTAAATTTTCTGTGTGTTGAGAAGAAAAGTGTCAGTTTGTCATCTTTAGCTTATTGTGCAAGTATGACCCACAGCATATTAAATAATATGATATTAGAATCTTAGAGGTATATGTGCCACAAACTTCATAACAAGTTCTCCATGTTTAGGGCACAAGGTAAGTTAAGAATATTTTATCTGTAATCAAAATAAGACTGGATACTTACTAAAATCTGATTTCTTGAAGTCTTGACCTAAAAAGACTAGAATGCCTATGTCCTCTAATCAAATGAGAAAACTAAAAACTGTAGGATATGCCTCAGATTATAGAACATTAGTCAACCCATTTACTTATTTAGATTGTGTAACCCAAAGTAGGAAAGCATTAAGTGTTGAAGGAGTGGTGAAAATGAAAATTGCCTTTCATGCAGCTTCTGCTTTATTTTCCTGGAATTATAACAGGTTGGGTAAGCTTTTAACACCACAGGGAAGCCAGCTATAGGTCACATAATGACAGGGAAGGTGTTTAGAAAACAGTTTAGTGGTTTAGTCCTACAAATATTATTTCCTTACAACAGTTTTCAACCCAAACTGGATTGTTCACTGTTCCCTATGGTTTTGGTTTCCTACCTCTGCTCATGCAGTTCACATACATATTTACTCCTTCAACAGTTAACAATCAATTCTTCTATGCCTAAATTCAAAGTTGAACTCTTAGAGCCAGTCTGAATTAGAGAAGATACCCTCTTCAGAAAGACACAGCAAACTATAATAGCATATAACTACATGTGCTTATTACTCCTTCATGAATGTCATGTTCTTAAAAATAGTATGTTTTGGGAATTTTTTTTTTAATTTGGTATTTGGGCATATTGAGTGAATGAAATTGTGATAACAAGGTGATTTAGTGTAGGAAATAAGCAATGTATAAAAAAAATTTATATGGCAGAAGGTAAAGGAAAATATTTACAATGTATAATAGCATTTTAATGCTTTAATATATGAAGAACTTGTTTCATCTGGTAAGGCCAACTAACTGAAAAATAAGCAAAAAAAAAAAAAAAAAAGGAGGTGGGGTGTAGTTCAGTGGTAAGAGTCCTGGGTTCAATCGCTAGCACTTAAAAAACAAAACAAAAAAATCTAATGGGATTCACAAAGGAAGAACAAATGGCCAATATAGTATGAAAAACCTAACCCCTTTAGTTAGTACTTAAAACAAAAAGATGCTGGTTATCATCCATCCTTAAATTAAAAACAAATCTTGATATTGGCAAAGTTGTAGGGAAATGAGTCCTGTCATTTTCTTGGTGAATGGAATGTGAATTTGCACTTTATTTTTAGGAGCCAGTTTGGCATTACCCAAAAACCTTGTAAGTATAAACATCTATTTATTCATTAATGTTTTCAGTACCTGGTCTGTCCTCAGCATTGGAATAAGACAATTTTATTCTAATGACAAGTTGGGGAGTAGACTTTCAGATTTAATTTAAATTGAAGACTTTTTTTTTTTCCTTTTAGTACCTGGGATCGAATTCAGGGGCACTCGACCACTGAGCTACATCCCCAGCCCTATTCTTTGTATTTTATTAGAGATGGGGTCTCACAGAGTTGCCTACTAGTGCCCTGCTTTTGCCTAGGCTAGCTTTTAACTCTAGATCCTCCTGTCTCAGCCTCCTGAGCCACTGGGATTACAGGCATGTGATGTTTAGAAATAACGGAAAGTAAGATATTTGATAATAGGGGTTTTACATTATGTTGTATTAAGGATATTTTGTGTTGTAACAGATAAACATGATTCTTAGTATTGGTTACTTGTGATGGTGACGAGAAGCCTATGACCATCTGTTTTGAAATGACGTTTATTTCTAGAACTGTGATCATCTGTTTTGAAATGGCTTTTATTTCTAGAATTGTCTTCCTTACAGTCTTCAGCCCTGTCTCTTCCAACTATCTGCTCCCACTTAAAGTATCTAGATCTCTAAAGCATATCTTTCTTCCTCTTCCAGTTTAATTTTCTCTAACCATTTCAGTAAAATCCATCCAGTTGCTTAGCTGTTTCTTGACTCCTCTTCCCACCCAGTTCCAATCTGCATCAAATCCAGACAGATTTACCTTGCAAACTTAGAATTCAGCTGTCTCTCAGCTCTTCTACTATACTTGTGGTCAAAAGCCACCATTAAATACACAAAATTTCCATTCTTACTTGTAATAGCTAATTCATTCCCCTGCATCTGCACTCATCTGACAAAAAACTCTCTAAAGACATCCCATATAGGAGTAAAAGCTGAAGTCTGTGATGTGCAGTCCCTAGTACACATTTCTGCCACTCATCTGTGCTCTTATTCCAATACTAAGGTTGCACCCATTCCAAGGCCTTTGCACTTATTTCCTCCATCTGGAAACTTCCATTTCCCTCATTCTCTGCTCAAACCTACTTTAAAGAAGTCTCTGAATTCCCTCTAAAATGGTTATTTCCCCTGCTTTATTTTTTTTCCATTATACATTGTGTACAGGTGTTGTGTATCCATATGGCATACAATATTTGTGTGTCCTTGCCTGCAGCCATTGAACTATAAACTCCCTAAGGGCAGAGATTTACTTTTGGAATTTGGAATAGTGCATAACTCATAGTACTTGCTTTTTTTTTTTTTTTTTAATGTGCTAGATGAGCTGGGAGTTGTGGTGCATATCTGTAATCCCAGTGAATTTGGCTGAGGTAGGAGGCTCTCAAATTTGAGACCTGCCCAGAAAACTTAGCAAGACCCTGCCTATAAATAAAAAGTGCTGAGGAGTGGCTCAGTGGCAGAGCCCCCTGCGTTCAATTCCCAGTACCACACACACACAAATCTTGGGTAGACGTTATTTCCAAACATCTAGTTCTAGTTGCCTTCTGGATCTTCTGGATATCTTCTCCCATGTCAGTGTCTTAAAATGTGCCCATCATTGTCTGGGCAATTCAGAGTACAGTAGAATTACTCTCTGGGTCTTGGTATTTTACTTATATTAATAAAGCCTATAATGTTTATGACTTTTAATAATGAATAGGTTACAATGTGAAGCTCTAGAGAAGAATTCTGGGGTTCTTTGCCGGATTTGAATTGAACTCCAGAATCTCCAAAGAAGTATCAATTGAATTACTCTAGCAAATTACCAATACATTTTCCCTAACTTCACCATTTATGCATGCACTCAAGTATTTTGAGTGTTTAACATAACAAAGTTGTGTGTGCTAGGAATGGATGTAGATATAAAATGTTACTAGGCATGGTGATGCATGCCTGTAGCCCCAGCTGCACAGAGGCTGATGGTGGCTTGAGCCTAAGAGTGGAAGGCCAGCCTAGGAAACCATAGAGAGACTTCATTTCAAAAATAAAATGTAAGTGGAGCCTCTCTTAAAGGTTCTCATTATCAAGGTGATTCACATAAGTGACTGCAGTGCATGCTGAGAAATGCTAAGTGCCATTTAAAAAAAAAAAAATGATTATAGCTCCAGTTGTTCCAGAGGAGGAAAGATGGCTCATTTGAAAGGAAAGCAAAGGGTGGATTAAGATTTTTGGACATGCTGAAATGACCTAGAATCTATGTAGAAAGAAGAAATTAAGCAAAAATAGATTTAGTGAGCACACACACACAAAAAAAAATGACTTATTCAATTTGGCTGGATGATATATTTGTAAAGAATGAATGATAAAGTGTGAAAGACCCAAAAATGGTAGTTGAGAGCAAAACATGGAGAGCTTTAATGCCTATCTGACAAAACCTGTTGCGTTGGAAAATCAGCATTTCTGAAAGTTTGTGACCAGAAAACATCAGTTCTGTGCTTTGGAGTAATTAATCTATAAGGCTATGCATAAAGGATTTGCTTTAGAAAAACTGGAACCATTAATCCAGTATAGGAAGTTAGAGCAGCAACCCAGCCACAACAGAATAAGTGGAGTAACAGGATAGAAAGGAGGTAAAAACAAAGATAAGGAGAAATAAAACTTGGCAGTTAGTTAAAAGGGAAAGAGTTGGCAGTGGTGGTTGAGGGTTCTGAGCCTTTGTACCTCAATGCAGAAACAACCTCTAAGAGTTAAAGAACATGCTTGAAAAAAGTTTCTAACGTACTACATTTGAGGTGCCAGAAGGCGTTAGTGCACTCAGCATGTAAAACTAAAGATGTGCACAGGGGTGGTCAATGAAATCATGAAGGTAGGGAACAGAAGGTTTAGGGGATTAGACCCACGGCTTCAGCCATACTAGGCAAGCACTCTGCTACTGAGCTACATTCCCATGTCTTTTTATTTTTATTTTTTTAGACAGGATCTAAGTTGCCCAGGCTAGCCTCAAACTTGTGATCTGTCTGCCTCAGCCTACTGAGTAAGGCTTGTGCTACTGTGCCTGCCAGACAGAGTTTTAGAGAAAAGAACAACAATGGATAAAAATGTCTATAACTATATTAGTAAAGATCTTTGAGTTCTTTGAAGATAGAGTCAAGAAAATAGAAATTTAATTGGTAAATGTAAGATGTCAACCGTGAAATACAGAGAAATTAAGTTTGGCTTGTATCTGATTTTTGTTCATTCCAAATATTAATGGCTTAGAATAGCTGAAATGAAGTAATTAAGAGACTCAAAATATTGACAAGCTGAGCACAATGGTGCATGCTTGTGATTCCAGCTAGCAGGTCGGCTGAGGCAGGAGGATCACAAATTTGAGGCCAAAACTGGGCAACTTAGTAAGATTCTTGACTCAATTAAAAAAAAAAAAAAACCGCTGGGAATGTAACTCAGTGGAAAGCACTTGCTTGCTAGCATGCTGGAGTCCCTGGGTTTGATTCCAAGCACTGCAAAAGGAAAAACACTGACAAAAATAAAAAATAATTTTTGAGTAAATAATGAAAAGTGTACACATTACTTGATCTCCATATACTTAAATTACCTCTCGGTTAAACACCCTACCAATATTGGCTTCTGAAAAGCTTTCTACTTATAGCCCTTTTTGAACAATGGTGATGGAGCTATTGTTTTTCTTTCTTAACAACATTGTTAGAATATAGTGTAATAACATTAACTAGGAATGTTAAAATAAGACTTCCGGTGGCACAAGTTTCATTTTATATAATGGGAGCACGTGCAAAGTCTAGATAAATCCAGACCATTCTTCCAGAATTCTATATATTTGATAACCTTGAATCCAGGTTATTCCCTGGGTCCTATTTATACTGAGAAAGAAGGAACCTATTTTTGTATTTTATTAGTGACAGTGTCTCACTGAGTTGCTTAGGGTCTCCTAAATTGCTAAGGATGGCTTTGAATTCGTGATCTTCCTGCCTCAGCCTCCAGAGTCGCTAGGATTACAGTTCTGTTTTCTCATTTTCAACCAAACTTGATTGATTTGCGTGGTTTACCAAGGCATGTTAGTTGCTATGCACCAGGTAGAAATGTTTCTTATTTGTAAGTACCAGGAGGCTCTTCTCAGCACATGCCTAAACTTGAAGGATTCAAATAATCTAATTAAAACCTTTCAAATAACTGCATAATTACTTCATTTTTCGGGAGGGGGGTGTCTTATTCTCACCATCAATTAAAACATTAGGTTCTTTGTACTGGATATACTATTTGATGCACTGTCACACATGTCTAGAATGAGTGACCTATCGGTTCACTAATTATACTTACTAGAAATCAGAGTTCCCTTTGTTAAAATGTATTTAACAATACAAAATATTAAGGAAAAAAAAGGCAAAGTCACCTGGCCTGGGCATATTATCGATAGTTTCAACCTATAAAACAGTCCTTCCTGCCTGGGAAAAGAATCCATCTTCAATCTTTGCAGGGTCCTCACAATTTCTTAGCTGTATTTGGAAGCCCAGATTCCTTTCCATCCCCCTCCTCAGCGTAACCCCAGAGGTCTCCTTCTGACCCTTTCTGTCCACGACCCCGGCATGCGATCCACAGCGGAAGAAGTGGTGCGGGGAGAAAGGTTGGGATGGTCCGCCAAAAATACAATGTTAAGGTCCGGGAGAGATTGCGCAAAGCCCACGGCAAGCACTGGGGACACGGGAGAGAATGGGGCCCTCGTAGGGCAAACGGAGCCAAGGGAACGCGCAAGAACGCCTGTGTGTGTTGGCCTTTCCCTCAGGCTGTCCCCGCCTCTGCCACCTTCCTTGGGTGGCTCTCCGCCTCACCCCACCCCCTGAGGGCCATTGGTACATTCCCGGCCGACTCCAAGAGCTTAAAAAGGGCCCGGGAGGGTGATCTTCGCAGATTTGGTCCAGTCCTTTTCGCGCAGCTTTTCTATAGCGGCCCTCCTACCTTCCACGCTGCCTGTCGGGAGTCTTGAGAGCTTTAGAAAGGGTTTCTTTGCGTTTGGTGTTCGAGGGTCTGGTGTGTGTGTGTGTGTGTGTGTGTGTGTGTGTGTGTGTGTGTCTTCTGCTGTGAAGGTCCTCCGCCCCCGCTGCCTCCACTCGCTCAGCGACTCTACTGCAGCCAGCTCAGAGCGGTATGGAACAGACTGAGGTGCTGAAGCCCCGGACCCTGAACGATCTGATCCGCATTCTGCACCAGCTCTTTGCAGGCGATGAAGTCAATGTAGAGGAGGTACAGGCCGTCTTGGAAGCCTACGAGAGCGACCCCGCCGAGTGGGCGATGTATGCCAAGTTCGACCAGTACAGGTGAGTGCGCTGTCGCCCTAAAGCCAAGCGACACTCACAAGAGTCTGTCTCTGTGGAGCCCAGGCCGCACCGCGCCCACCGCGCCACTCTCTCGCCCCTGGATGGTGGGTGGCTAGGCTGGCGCTCTGCGTTTGGGGTTGCGCGGCAGCCGTGCATGCAAAAGGTGGATCCTACTGTCGCCACAGCCGGGAGACAGACAGCAGGCAGGCTGGAGCCAAGAGAGGGAGGCCACTTTTCAGCGGAGGTTTTCTTCTCCCGGACAAACCTCTTTGCTCCAACCCCAACTGCTCTGGTCCTCAGCCTCAGGAACAATGCCCTCCGCTAGGGAGCGATTGTCAATCCCGCACTCAGAGGCTCGGGCGCATCCCCACAGCCAGAGGAACTCAGGCTCTGGCTTGCTAGCAGCCTGGAGGAACTGACTGGCTGGACTAATAGAGGTGTCCGGAGAAGACAACTACAACTGCTACTGAGGAAATGGGGTGATGGCAGAGGACACAATTCCCTGACATCAGTTTTCTATCACTATGCCTTCGGTTGCCCCAACCAGGCACCAGAGTCTTGAGTTTGTCAGTTGCTACTATTCAATTTCTGCTCTTCCCTCTTCCAAACCAATTTAACTTTTCCACTGTGGGTTTATTCAAATCCACTAACTGGTTTCCGCAAACTAAAAATAGTGTCGCATTTTCTGCTGTTTGGCTCTTTCTTATCCTAGGGGTAGGAAGTAAGTTGAAGACTCATACTTCAAGGAGGAGCTTGAGGGAGATGTCCTGGTAGGTTGAGACCTTTAAAGGCCCAGAATAGTTGTTAAGTAAAAATGATTAACTATACCCTAGGGGCAGAAATAAAATTTAATTACCACTAAGGGTGAGAGGTTCAGCTTTTCCAAAGGGCAGCCAGCGCTTCAATCTTTAATGGCTGATTGGGTTGAGACTGGCAGAGGGGAGAAACCTGAAAGAAAGGAACAAGGAAAGAATGACATCTCTTTTCTCAGGTAGTAGTTTCTGTTAGTTACTTCCCAGTAACAGGAAGGGTATTTGGTAGTTTTGTTATCAGGGACATTTCAACTATTGTAGGATTAAAGGTGAAGGCCACTTGGGCTTCCATTCTGTTTGCAAAGTGGCTTTAGGAATTTCCTTTGGTACCTTTCAACTCAGTTGCTAGTCAAGTCCTTCCATGGCTGTCAACAATCCTACCACATTTTTAAAATGTGCCTGCATTTGCTCCATACAATTGAGAACTTCTTATGGGCTAGATACTCTTCCAAAGATGTATATAAAGTTACTTCTTTACAAAGAATGATACAGGCATCATTCTTATCCCGACTTTACAAGAAATGACTAGTAGGCTACAAAAAGACTGAACAACCTGAGGAGGACTTCTGTCAAGGTTCAAATAAGATTATTGTTCTAGAGCCTGCACTTTAAACCACTACTCAATTTCCATTGGACATATGACATTAATAGTTTTATTCCAGTAATATATCTGACTAGATATCGTATTGGCCAAGTGAAATTAATTAACCAGGGTGGGCTATAATAGCTCCTCATCTTTAAACAAGAGCATTTCTAGGGACCTTGAATTAGTCTCGATTGAAAAACCTTTTGAAATACAATTGGTTGGGTTGCTTGAGTTAAGGCAAGACTCTTTAAAATAATGGTGTAGTCCTGAGTGGGTAGTTGGGAGAATAGAGAAGAAGAAAAAAGGGAGAGCAGAAATGAAGTACTTTGATCATAGCCTAGGTTCCTAGCACTGAAGAATTCTGATGTATGACCTATGGGTGGACTATGCATTACCAATGCAGAATACGTTCTACAAAATATATTCTAGTGTGAGCCAGACAGTAAATTCTCTGGAATAAGGCCCAAAGAAACAAGAGATCACCTAAGACTGGTGGAGGGAAAAGTAGGATTCTGGTATAGAAACTCAGTTTACTGGAAATACTTTTACTCTACGTACCACCCCTTTCTAGGTCATAAAGAGCTACAAAGAAAGGGTGTCAGCTAAAATCCACTTACCAAGCAACTCCCTCAAGGATCATGCTGCAAAGCACCTGGCCCTGAGCTTTGGGGAGGGGAAGGACAGGACAGAAAGGGCATGCAGGATATGAGTGACTAAGGGAACAAACACTACCAAAAAAAAAAAAAAAAAAAGTATAGATCTCTTTCTCTTAAAATAAATAAATAAATATCATAATTATCAAACTTGGCTAATTAGATGGGGGCGATAATATCCCTGGTACCCCCAACTTATTTGCAGAGTACTTTTCATCATGAGTGCTTCTGAATGTGGTTTGTGTTTGGGCTTTAGTAGTAAAATTAAAGAGAATTCTAGAATAGCTATTTAATGAAACCTTGTTTCTCAAGTCCTACATTAGCTACAGGGAAGAAAAATTGCTGAAAACAATAGCAACATTCTTCCCTGGAGCAATTTTCAAATACCTTCTATAAGAAACTTTTTATCAGTTTGAGATTGTGTGATGGACCAACGTGGAATCTGCTTCCCCCCACCACCACCACTATAATCTTTCCATGCAATTAATTAAAACTGATTAGCTAACTCTGTAAATGTGGTGCTTCACAATATGATCTTCTCATTCTTCATGGACCTGCAACAAACAACCTAAAACCACAAAATACAGGGGGCAAAAAAACATTCAAAGTTGTTTTGAGGTAAAAGTAGTAGCACAGGTACCCAGGACAGTTAGTGTGGCCTAGTGGCCTAAGGCACTAGATCTAGGTTCCAGTCTCTCTGGAGACCTGGATTTGTAAATGCAGTGGTACTTTGTAACACTTGTTTTTCCTGGTACTTGTTTCGGTGAATTCAAATGTCTGAATATGTTCTTCTTTTAGGTATACCCGAAATCTTGTGGATCAAGGAAATGGGAAATTCAATTTGATGATTTTATGTTGGGGTGAAGGACATGGCAGGTAATATAATAATTCCTTTTGGTATTTCTTAGAGTATCTGTCCAAGCATATGAGAAGTACACAGTACCAGACTAGCCACTAATGTCATATTTTAGAATTATTTGATCACATGGTCCCCAAATTCCAATAAAAATTTCCATGGAAATTAGTATAAGGAGTTAAGGCATACACTATATATTAAAACTAGTCCCCCAAATGAGGCAAATCAGGTAAGTATTTATCTAATTCAATGTTTCTCCTGCCTTCTATGTAGTTAAAAAAAAAAATGGAGTTCTGTTTAAACTGACCTTTGTGGTGTTTGGGGTGTGTAAACATTTGTGGGACCAAAGACCAAATCTTCAAGATTTTGAGCTAGAAAAATATTTACAAATTCAGGAAATTTCTTTGTACTTCATGTTAATTGGTTAGTTTCTTTACCTGTACACAACTAAAACTAATGCTGGTTCTTTAAAAATTGGTTCTGGCTGGGTGTAGTGGCACATGCCTTTAATCCCAGCACCTCCAGAGGCTGAGACAGGAGGATTGTGAGTTCAAAGCCAGCCTCAGCAAAAGCAAGATGCTAAGCAACTCAGTGAGACCCTCCCTGTCTCTAAATAAAATACAAAATAGGGCTGGGGATGTGGTTCAGTGGTCAAGTGCCTCTGAGTTCAATCCCAGTACCATAAATTAATTAATTAATTAATTAATTAAAATAAAAACTGGTTCCTGTTTTTAGTTTGTACATGTGCCAGTCTTATTGCCAACTGAATACTTTTTAAACAGGTCCTTCCTAGTATTTGAGAGTGCTAAAAAAAATTATTAGAGAAAGGAAACATAAATTTACATGACTGTAGAAAGTTAGGTCCCTAGAGTTTATTTATTCATATAGAATGGAGTTGTATTTATTCATCCAGCATTTTTTAAAAGTGTATTTATCACTAGACTGTGGATGTAGTTATAGAATTCAAAATACAAAATATATACTAAAAACATATATAGGTATGTATATTTTAATCAATTCTGCAGTTATTTCTACTTCAGATACCTAGATACCATTTAAGATTACATGATAAATCCATTCTTTCCTTAAATGTAAAGGAGAAAAGAGGAAAGGCCTAAATAAAATATTAAGTGATCTTTTCAGTGTGGTGTAATTATTATGGATGATTATCTTTATTCTTTTCAGAATTTCACTAATGTACTTTTTGTTGTTTCGTGGTGCTGGGAATTAAAACCAGGGCCTTGCATACTACTTTGCCATTTCTAATGTGCCATCATAATCAAATTCTAGCTCAGCGTGAGTTATTTAGAGTTGTATTTGGGAAACATAAAAGATTTCTGGTTTTATGTTCTTGTTGTCAAATTAGTATTACAACAACGTTAAAAAAATTAACTGCTCTTTGGTAGAGGTACGTATCAAAATTGTGCCCCATAAAAGCCTTGAGATGGATGATACATTATTTTATTTATTTTTTTTTTAATTTTTTATTGTTGGTTGTTCAAAACATTACATAGTTCTTGATATATCATATTTCACACTTTGATTCAAG